GAGTCCCACAGGGTTCCTTGTTGGGGCCCTTATTCTTTGTCATTTTTATAACTGACTAACCCGAAGTCATTCTCCCGGGCAACACTATTGCTCTTTATGCAGATGATTGCAAGTGCTCTAGGATCATGGATGCTGCAGATGATCAGGATTTGTTTCAACAGGATTTGGACAACCTTTTTCAGTGGAGTGTTCAAAATTGCATGACTTTTAGTGTAAAAACATTGCAACATTTAAAGCCTTAAATGGCTATTTTAACATTAATGTCTATTCTTACGTAGATTTTTATTCAGAGCTTGACCGATTTTCATTAAGACATAAGAATAAGTTAACCTTGAAAAAGAAGTATGCTAGAACAAATGTCCTAAAATATATCTTTTTTCATAGAATATGTGTGATAGTTAGAATCTATTACCTGGAGAAATTCGCAAAGCTGCTGAGTTAAATATATTTAAGACTAGAGCTAAGAAATTTATGTTAGAGTTATGAGTACTTTGATCTGATTATTTCCGCCTGTCCTGTTTTCTGGATGTTACTTCTGTTTTTGTCGGACAGAGATACTTCAAATATCACTTTGTGGTAATCTTTTTATTAGATGATCTATAGATATTTTTACATCATAGATCTATATTCGATTTAAATTCTGACTCAGAGTTTTGGAGGAGTATTTCATCTATTCATCTAATTATTTTATAGTTTTATCTTTTATATGGTAAATATATATAATGGTGATCCGTCTTTGTATGGGATCTATGACCTCTACGGATTATCCATTGGCTGTACTATTTATCATATTTATCATTAATAATTATTTTACTCTAGTTATTTTGTATTGTATAAGCCACAAATTGCAATAAATAAATACATACAAAGCTCAACGGAAAAGTTCAGTGTCAGATCAGTGTGCTTTCATTGTGGTACTCACAGTGGAAAAAAACAACTTTTGCAGACATTTCAGATGTTTCTTAAGAAAATAATTAATTACAGGTTTACTCTATGCGAATATACTCTCCTCCCATCGCTTCAGCCGATTTTGCTTTTAACAGCAATCCGTTACGGATGATTATTAACCAACTGCACAAAGAAGAATACAAATAACGCGCGAATAGAGAACAAATATCTCGCAATATTGTACGGTTATTTGGACAGTTGGTTATTTTGTATTGTAAAAAAACCTGTTTAACCAGTCGGCCGAGTGCCCTACGCTTCTCTGTCCGCTTTGCTTTTCCCGCCTTAAGACTTAACAGGAAGACTTAACAGAAAAAAAAGCAGGTGGTTGATAAATAACTTATTAGACGTTTTGGTGTGTTGTAGAAGTCGTGGTGTGCCTTGATTTGTTCTTCTGTCAAAATT